CCCCATATATATATATATATATATATATATATATATATATATATATATATATATATATATATATATATATATATATATATATATATATATATATATATATATATATATATATATATATATATATATATATATATATATATATATATATATATATATATATATATATATATATATATATATATATATATATATATATATATATATATATATATATATATATATATATATATATATATATATATATATATATATATATATATATATATATATATATATATATATATATATATATATATATATATATATATATATATATATATATATATATATATATATATATATATATATGTCATGCCCTTCTATTTCTCTCCAATATATTTCTTCTCTTAAAATATTTGTCAATTCCTTTTCTCATAAAATATCTCATCTTGACATTGGTTAGAAAACATCTGATAAATCCTCATGATTCTACCAAATAGAGTAAATCAGTTAAATCCAATAATTCACTTAAACCATACAAACCAACTAACTAGTACAATTAATCAGTTATTAAAAATCGGGCTGTTACACTATGTACATCATCAGACTCTAGACTATGGATATAGAGACTTTGTACTCCATCAGGCTCTGAACCAAGGAAGAATACAAATAAGTGCTAAACTTAAAGTCAACTATGAATTCCCCAGTCAATGCTTCTAAAGTCATCAACCCATATGTACTATGATACAGTCAAGCCTAATTTTTACTAGACTCTGAAGTTTAATTTCAAGGCTCTGAACTCTGACCAAGCTTCAAAATATCTCATATATGAAGCCAACGATTTAGAGAAAATGAATGAATGAATATTCCACAAGATAATACAATTTAAGCAGCGAAATCAAAAGGGCTGATATGTTGATATTCTCAAGAACTATACTTAGAGGGTGGCAGAACAGGCTGCCCGCCCTGCCTTAAGCCCTCAAAAAAAAAAAAAAAAAAGGGGCAGACAAGTCTGGCAAGTGAAATTGGGCTTAAAAGTCGAGCCCACCCCGACAAGGTGACGGGTTGGCAGGCAGCGGGCGTGCCCGCCTATTGTTTATTTGTTTTCTTCATTTTTTTAATATATTAAAAGGATTTCTTACATTCTAATTAGAAATCATGAAACCAATAATTAGAAAGCATAAAATGACAACTAAAAGTCTAAAACCATCAAGAAATTTCACCTAAAATAAAACCATAAACAAGAAATTCTAAACTATAGTTCAAGTATTAATGTTTAACCAACCAAAATAAATATTTTAAGTGGTTAATAACTAGGTTGACGGGCTGGTGGGCCAACCCACCACTTTTTTGGTGGGCTTAAGGTGCGGCGGGCTGAACGGATAAGCAGACACAAAATCTCAATCCAACCCACCATGTTTTTGCGGGTGTGCGGGTTGGCCCGACGGGTTACAACCCGTTTTGCCACCCCTAATTATACTACCAACAACTATTAAAGATTTTCTCTCCAGTATCCACGATTTACGTTACAACCTCGTACCAACTATTACAGTTTTGGGTTTGAAAAATTTTCCAATTCTAATCTCTAACGGTTTTATTCATCATCTATATAAAGAGGACAAAGGAATTGCAAAAATTAGGATCAACGATGATCAACATAGGAATGCTGAAATAATTTTAATAGAGAAAATCAATTTAGAGAAAGAGAAATTAGAGAAACACTTAGCATTTTATTTCATATATTTTTAAGTGTAAATTTTGTTTATCACTGTGAGTATGTACTAATTTAGAAAAAATATTGTAAACACAAATCTTATATTTAATAGTTGTTAAATTCTTTGAGGGACTAGATTTTAGTCAGAAGTCTCATGAAGTCATTGACGGGTAGTCTTTGAGTTGTAATTCCTTAAGGGACTAAGTTTAGTCATAATCCTTGAGAACTCATTGATGATTAGTCTTTGAGATTGTAATCAATATGATTATTGGATTAAGTCTTATTAAGAAGGAAAAATCACTTTGATGAGTGGACTGGACTAACCTAGTTAACGGTGAACCAGGATAAAAATACCTTGTCCTTTTAATTATTATCGTTAATGTTTTAGGGTAACGAAAAAGTTTCATATTTGAATCAAATTCAATTCCCCCTTTCTTTTGTTTCCTGAACCTTCAATTGGCATCTGAGCTCCGACTCTAGTATTGACTACTTTATGTCAAACACTTAACTGTGTCAGATAAAGATCAATATTTTGAAACACATAATGGCTCATGCAAATAATGATAAAGATCATTATTCTGCCAAACATCCAATTTTTTATGCTAGAAAAGTTTGTATATTAGAAAGAATCGAACATTTCTTCATAGGTTGTGATGTTAATCTATGGGATATGGTAATAGATGGTTACACATATCCTACAAATGTAAATGGTACATAGATTGAAAGAAGATAAATGTATGAGAAACCAATGAAGGATCACAAGAATCATCATAGATCCATAACTATACTGTTGAATGTTGTTTCCTATTTAGAGTATGAAAAGATTGTAAATAGCGACTCTGCTATGTCTATATTTGATTCTTTGAAAATGACTTATGAAGAAAATGAGCAAGTTAAGAAAACTAAGGTCTTAACTTTAATTCAGAAATATGAAGTCTTTAAAATGGAAGAAGATGAAATAATTGAGGAGATGTTCTCAAGATTTCAAACTTCTGTACTTGGATTAAAAGTACTGAATAAGGGCTATACCACTTCAGATCACATAAAGTAAATTATCAGTAGCCAGCCAAAAATTAGATGTCAATGGTGACAACACTTAAGGTGTCAAAGGATCTAAACAACACGACTCTGAAAGAACATATAAGTTCTCTAAGAAGTCACAAGATTGAGCTTGAAGAAGATGAGCCCTATAAGAAAGTAAAGTTTTTGGCTCTGAAGTTCAAAGGCATGTTTGAGAAAGCTAAATCTCTTCAGGCTAGAGAAGAAGAGTTCGAAGAAAGCTCTGAAGAAGAGAACGAGCTATCTCTACTCACTATAAGGGTAAACCAACTATAGAAGTAAAGACAAACGAAGTTCAGAGGCTACAGAAGAATAGATGGACGACCTAAGTCAATCTTAGGATAGAAGAATCCTGGAGATGACAAGGACGTTACCTGCTTTGAGTGCAAATAACATGTACGTTATAAGAATGAGTGTCCCAAACTCAAGCCCAAAAAAATTTCAGAGAGAAGAAGAAGGTTCTAATGGCAACGTGGGATGAATCTGAATTTTTAGAAGATGACTCTGAAGAAGAAGAACTAACATGGCTCTTAAAGGTATCATCTGAGTTAGGATCAGATTCAGAATTAGACTATGACTATGACAAGGTATTTTCTCATCTTACTCGTTCTAAATTAAAATTATCCTTAGCTAAGATTCTTGAAATATTTCAGAAGCTTCAACCAAGATCAAGAATCTGAAACATTTTCATGTAGTTAACTATTGAAAGAAAACTCTATTTTTAAAGAAAGAATAAGTAGTTTAGAAAAAGAAAACTCTATTTTTAAAGAAAGAATAAGTAGTTTAGAAAAAGAAAACTCTACCCTAAAAAACAAGAGTGAAAAAATTGAAAAATAAATTCTTTCAGAAGCTTCTATGGACTCTGAGTGTGCTTCCAATAGATATGAAACATCTTTTTAAATTTTTTTAAAAAAGAACATAGATAGAAGTAAGATGACTTCAATGATTTATGGAATTAGTAGAAACCGAAAAAGAGACATTGGTTATGTTAAATCAAATAACTCTATGTTCAAGCCTAAACTCAAAGATACTTATAAAGTTATATTCCTTAGCCTACAAATTACTCTTCTAATATTATGCAAAGACATCCTATACAGAGATGCCAATTCGAACTTGCAATATTTCTTTTATTTACGTTTAAATAATATATTTTATTTATTTATAAAAATAAAATTACAGTCACTAAATTATATGGCTGAAAAAAGAATTAAGGGTAATTCATTATTCTTTTTATTTTTTAATATTGATTTTTTTTTTAGAAAATGACACGCGTCTGAGACAGCAATGTGCCAGTCAGCACCACACGTAGTACACACACAGCCTAGTTTGTTAGAGACAAAACAACTTTTTGAGCTGGTGATGACTCGGATTACTCCCAGAAACTTCAACAAAGCCAAATGTTTTCAACGCCTTAAAATATATTTCCAGTAACTTGCGCACTTATTTTTAAGTAGTTAGTTACGGTTACAGGTTAAACAAATAAAATATTTTAATTTTTCAAGTTCAAACTTCAACATCTCTCCCACAGATTTAACTTAGTTTACTGTATAACCCCAACCTTTTCTTACAATTCAAGGTAAACAGGTGTAGCCCCTCAACCTAATTGCCTTAAAATATACACTCAAAAAATATTTAACACCATAATTCTAAACATTACAAATTAATCTTATTGACTTTTTTGTCTCTCACCCACACACTGCAAATTCTCCTAGTTATACGCCTTAGAAGATGTATGCGTAGTTGAACTTGAAAAATGAAAACAGTGTGAAATTGGTATTAAGAACGGTTTGAAGAAAATGCACACCCAACCCAATCCATCTTCTACACCGCTTATCTTGCAAAAGCAATTAACCAGCGTTTCAACACACGGCAATCGTAATTTATACAAGTAAAAAAAAACAATTAGCATAAGACATGACACAATCATAAAAGTGGATTTCATCATAAATAAATTAAACTTTATTATTAATCAATAATATATAATCATATAATTTTCATCTTAAAATCAAACTAAAAGTGCTTATCTCATCACACTTCATATCCACATGGACAGAGTGCTTTCTCTCTCTCTACAATCTTATAGAATATAATATAAAATAATCATTTTTTGAACTACTCCACCAAAAAATAATTGGGGAGACCAAAAAAAGAAAAAAAGAAAAGAAAAAGTAAAAGAAAAAAAATGTAATATTGTGCATGGCTAGCTTCTTCAACCTTCTCATCACACAAACTACGATCACGAACCAGATTAACGTTCTTCTTGTTGATCACGATGATCACCGCGAGACGATAACCGAAAAACCCACTTAGTGAGTACTGATTTTCTCTTAGACTGAGATGTGCTTCGAGGAGTAACACCGGTGGACTCAACAACGAAAGCTTTCAACCTTTTCATTGCTAGTTTCAGAGTCTCTTCCGACATGTTAGCAAAACACATACGAAACCAACCTGGTTCATTACAATGGCAAGATGAACCAGGTGAAATGTTCAACCCAACTTGGTACACTATCTTTTTCCATAGCTCCATTTCAGCTTCAAAAGTGTTGGAGTGGAGAAGATGTCTCATATCAACCCAACAAAATAATGCAGCATTGCTTTCTAAGCAGTTGATTCCTGCTTTTTGTAGACCTGAAACGAGTTTGGTCTGTCTTTTTTTGAGTCTCTTGGAGTTTTCTGCTAAGTAGTTTTTGGTGAATTTTTTGTCACCAAGAATAGCGGAGAGAAGATATTGTGTTTGCGATGAAATCAAACCGAAGCTTGACATCTTCGTTGCAGCGGCGACAACCGTGTCATTTTCGGAGTAAATAGCGCCGACGCGGAAACCTGGCAAACCCAAGTCTTTGGAAAGACTATAGACAACATGAACTCTCTCCTTTATTTCATCAATGTCTTTGAAATTCTTAAGATCGTTTCTTTCTTTAAGAATTTCCATGACGCTGATGAAACTCGGAGAGGTAAAAACAGTCCCGGAGTAAATCTCGTCGCTTATCAAATGCATGTCTTTGTTTTCTTCGATGAAGTCGACGAGAAGGTTCAATTCACTCCTTGACATTGTGGTGCCTAGCGGGTTTGACGGGTTTGTAACCATCACTCCTTTGACTTTAAGGTTGCGGTTTTGTGCCTCTTGGTATGCTTGTTGCAATGCTTGTTCAGTAACTTGAAAGTTGTTGGAGCTATTGCATTGTATTGGAACAATCTCAACGCCAGTTCTCCATTTAAGATCTCTATCAAATCTGCAATAAACCAAACAGACAAAAAACATCGTCAGAATCGGTCATTACGGAAAAAAATGCAGATAAATGAAAAGAAGTATTTAAAAAACTATACGCACCCTGGATAGTAAGGAGTAGGAAGAAGAAATGCTTCTCCTTTCTCGGCGAGACAGAACATAAGAGTTTCATTTGCTGAAGTAGAACCTGCGGTGAGAACTATGTGGTCGGGATCAAAAGTAACCTTGTTTCCTCGAATCTCAGCCATGAAATCTACCAATGCATTTTTGAAGGAGGGGAGACCATGGTAGTCTTGGAAGAGAGCAAGTTCGCGGAATATGGACTTTCCTCCGCTTTTGAATCCAGCAGCGTCTGGATTCTTAGCTAACCATGATTCCAAGAGATCAAAAGAGAGCTGCAGAAAACAAACAAAATTCGTAAGTTAAATTGTACAAAAACAAAGTTTTAAGGTTGTTGTTTTCATGAAAAAATAAGAGTAGTTAATTACTTGATTCTCTGCTAGACCCATTTGAATGATTCCTTTGGGATTGTGAACATTATCATAAGGATTCTTCTCATATTCTTCCCAACCTAGGAAGTATGAAGAATCTTGGCCATGACTATTGCAAGTTGCTTTGGTGGACAAGAGTTTCATTTTGTGTATTTTTAGGATGATGTATTGTTGTGTGAAGGAAAATGGACAAGTTTAAAGAGAAGAAGAAAGAATGTTTGGGAGAGAAAGATTGGTTGATTAGTTTTAGATGTGAGATGAATTGTTGTGAGGAGTAGTGAGGTGGGTGTATATATTTATAGGCAAAAGAAGTGGTAGTGAGAAAGAGGACCACGTGGTTTTGCAGAAAGTCTTTTGACTAAAAAAAATGTAACATTTTTGTTCTATAGATCAAGAGAGAGAAAGAGACAAAAGCAAGCATAAAATAGAATAATACTACCCCATATAAGACTCCATACACTAAATTACCCTAATTAAGAAAGTTGAAAATTGTATTAAATTTTTTTGACTAAACAATATTTATAAAAAGAGATAAGAAAAAAACTCAAGGGTGTTATTAAAAAATGTAATGTTGCTTAGGAAAAAAAGTGATATGTTCCACCGTCCCAACAATAACACGAGAAGTCCACGGTCCCTAGTATCACTGAATAATAATGAGAAGTATATTTTATTTTTATATTTAAAATTTGAAGACCAAAATGTGGAAAGTGTCTCCCACAGGGTTTAATCTCGCGTGGGAATTCAGGTGGATTCTTGGGCAAGAAAATAGAGTATATTCTTTATCTCGTGTTATTTTGTTTCTTTGGATTTACTTGGATGTGGTTGTCTAAAATTGCTTATAAAACAAACATGGATTTTAGATTAAGTTCTAAGGTTAACTTTTATAATTCTTTATTTTCTTATCTTAGAAAGATTGTTTTATATTAAATAATCAGTTTCATGAGGGAGTAAAATAACACTTGAATATATTGAAATTACATTAATGTCTATCAACCAATGTGTTCTGTTGGATTACGAATGTATTTGAATTAGACTGAGCGGCACTACTTGTTTTTCCATTGTCTTATATTCCTATGTAAATTATCATTTATATAAACATAAAAAGAAATTATATTTATATTTATAGTGTGTTTAGATGGATGGATATTTTAACGTAAAATCTAAAATTTTGTAAATTTTATTGATTGGATAAATGATTCAAAGAATGATACCTTAAGGCTGCTCGTCCTTCAATTTATTCATCTTTAAGAGATGAAATTATTCTCATTAAATTATTAGATAAAAAATATTCAATTTTTTTTTAAAATGATGGAAACTTATTAAATATTTTGTTCTAATTTAATTTAATTTAATTTTAAAATGACATAAAAAATAAAAAATTGGCAAAATGTTTTTTTTATTCCTTTAACTTTACTTGCGATTAATTTTGGTTCCTTAAATTTTAAAAGGCTTAAATGCACTTTTAGTCCTTCTATTTACAAAATTTTAACGTTTTAGTCCCCCTTTTAATTTTTTTCAGCCTTTTAGTCCCTCAAATTGTCACTTTTTGGAATTTTTTTAGTCCCCCTTCTGTTTTGATTATGTGGCGCTCAAAATGGTGATTGGGCATGGTCAGTCAGATGTCAAGTCATTTAAATAATTGACAAGTTAATGACATGACATAAAATTTGTATTTTTATTATTTTTTAAACCTGTAAACGAATTTGAACCGTGTTTATATATCAAAGAGCCCTAATTCCTTCATAATTTCCCTAATTTCTTCAGCTGCTTCTGTAACCTCATCAACAATCTGCGAACGAATTTGAACTGTGTTTATATATCAAATAGTCCTATTTTTTTTCTCATAATTTTCCTAATTTCTTCAGCTGCTTCCATAACCTCATCAACAATCTACGAACGAATTGCAAAGACACCATGGAATGTAAAGAGCAAGGAAGAACGAAAAGTAAGGAAGAAGTGAAATACTGTATGAGGTAAGTGAAACTTTTTTTTACTGGAATTAGGGTTTATGGTCCCATCTTCGTTTCTTTATTCATAATGTGGTATCTTCTTTATTTTCTTTATTCTGAATGTGAGTCCTAAAAAATGTTGTTTATTCTGAATGTTGGACCAAATAGTGTTGTTTAGACTAAATTAGGGTTTATTATGAATGTGGTCCTTAATATTGATGTTTATTATGAACTCTTGTTTCTATTACAGACCAAGTCAAAAGCAAGGCATTAGGATACAGTTTCATCTTAGGGGAAAGTTAGTGTCGGAACCTGTGAAGTGGTATGCTAATGGGGTAATTACTGAAATGAACTAGGAATGGGATATGGGTTATGTGTCGTGTATGCAATTGAGAGAGTTGATTCACAATGAGGGGTATACCAATATTAAGTGTTTATGGTATTGGAACCCCAAATATAGTTTTTCGCGTGGCCTTAGACCCCTAAGTTCTGATCAAGATGTGTTGAAATTTGTTGCTGATGTTAAGGATTATGATGTTGTAGATGTGTATGTAGAACACTTAATTTATACTTCAGATATTATAGATGAGGCTGAGCTAGGAAAGAAAGATGTGGATGGAAAGGGAAATGAGAATGTGAAGGGAAAGGAAGTTGAGAATGTGGAGGGAAAGGAAGATGAGAATATGAAGGGAAATGAAGATGTGAAGGGAAAGGAAGATGAGAATATGGAGGGAAAGGAAGATGAGAATGTGGAGGGGAATGAACATGAGTATGTGGAGAGAAATGAACATGAGAATGTGAAGGTTGGAATAGGAAAGGAAGATAATAGTGTGAATGGAAAGGAACATGACAATATGGATGATAATGGCAATGATTCATTAAGTGAAGGTGACAATGAATATGTTGCAAGTGAAGGTGACAATGATTCATCAAGTGAAGGTGAGGATAACTATGTTACAAGTGAGGATGACACTGATTCAATCAATGTGGATTGGACCACAGTGCTACAAGGTTGTGAAAATGTGTGTCAAGCTGCTAAGGTAGTGTGTCAAGATGGTGATGATGACTCTGATCAGCTACATACACCTCCTGGTAGTGGGGATGATGAAGAAAATGATAAATTCCCAGCTTATAGAAGTGGCGAAGGATTAAAATTTCAACATTCTAAAACATACTCTAAGTGTGATCTACAAGTTAATAATATGTGTAAGGCCTTCAATAGGGAAATTCTAGAGTGTAGGGATAAACCCATAATCACTTTGTTGAAGGGTATTAAACATTACTTGACTAAGAGGATTACTAGTCAAAAGGAGCTTATGAATACATACACTGGTGATATTTGCCCTAGAATTCAATTGCTTCTTGAAAAGAACAAAAATCATGCAGAAGGTTGGGCACCCACATGGCATGGTGATGATGATTTGTCCATCTTTGGTGTCACAAATGGCATAGATATACTTTGTAGATCTGAAACAACAGACATATGCTTGCAGAAAATGGGATTTAACTGGTATTCCATGTAGTCATGTCATATCATGTATATGGCAAAACAAGGAAAAACCTGAAGATCATGCCTCTGAGTATTACAGGTTTGTGAATTCACCATATAAATCTGTTTATTATGTTTGCTTAGTATGACTAAATCTGCTTATTATTGGTTGTGCAGGAAGTCACATTTTAATAACAGTTATTCACATATAATCTACCCTACAAATGGACCCCAACTATGGTCTTTGTTGGAGGGTCAGGTACCAATCAAACCACCAATGCTCAGAAGGGCCATTGGTCGACCCAAGAAGCTGAGGAACAAAGTGAATGATGAACCAAGAAATCCACATGTACTTCCTAGGAAGCTTACAACTGTGAGTTGTCATAAATGTGGTGCCATGGGACACAACAAAAGGAGTTGCAAAGGAAAAAGGGTTGCTAAGTGAGTCATTCCCAAAGCTAGTAACAAGAAGAAGGGCAATGCATCAAAGGATGGAAAGAGACAAAAACTTGAAACAAAAGGTGGAAAGAAGACAAAGGCAACTGTAACAGAAATTGGGAACTCATCACAAGCACCTCAGCCTTCTTATAGTTCAAATTAGGTTCTATGTGCTTCATGTCAGTTTGTAATAGTTAGGTTTTATGACATTTTGTGGTTTTTGTCATTTTGTATTCAGTTTGTGGTTTGTGTAATGAGTTTGTAGTTATTTTGTAATCAGTTTGTTGCCCATGTATTGGAACAAGTTATTGTCTATGTAATGACTTTAATGATATCTCTATGAAGTAATGTTCAATTTCAACTTCCTTGTTGGTTAATTATACAATATTGGAACTGACATGTCTTTTAATTCATCACAACCTTCATAAGTAATGACTATAATTGGAACATGTACTATGTAATGATTGTGTTCTATATAGATTTGATCATGTTGGTCAAGTTAGAGATATATTAGGATATCTTAAAAGTAGCTAAATATATGAAAAAATTCATATTTGCAAGTTCTGACTCTTTGAGTCGACTCATAGCCTGCTTAGGTCGACTCATACGGAAGTCATTTTTTCATGTATTGCTCTCAGGAGAGTTCACGTCGACCCTTCTGTCGACTCATACTGTGTGCGTTTGTGATTGTCTAAATTGGGATCTTGTGCGTCGATGCATGACCTGTTTCGGTCGACGCAAAGTGTTGTTTTCTGCATAGTTCTGAAATCGGGAGAGCTCAGGTCGACCCTCCCTTTGCTGTAGGTCGACCGCTCGCGCGATTTTCACCAAAATTCTATGATGCAAAACTTTCAAAGTGTTTGTTAAGTTGGTTAATTGTTTTCACATTTGCATAAGCAACATGGCTAATTTGAACATGTCCTATAAGCAACATCTGCTATAATAATCTGTTATAAAAACCATATAACCAAGATACCATATAAACCATAAAATAAACCAGAAATAATTCTCGTTCTCATTCATCAATTCATGGGTTACATTCATATAAATTACAAACATATTAAACCAAAAATCATCATTCTCATTCATCAATTCATGAGTTACATTCATACAGTCAAATTCATTACACTTGTTACAACTAAACCATAAACATACTACATCATTTTTTAACCACAACCTACTTTATTACACTTGATACAACTAAACCTAATAACATTACAAAGCTCATAACACATGTAAACTTCAGTTGCATATTAAGGAACTTGATC